CGAGAACAACGACTTCGGCGAGACGCGCGGACTACGCATCGATTGCCAGCGGAATGGGAGAGAGCCAAAGAAGAGATGCCATTTTTTGGCGCGCGCCTGGCGGGGCACAGAGGAGCGGCTAAGAGACTTGGGAGAATGCCCCCACGATGGGGGCTAGGCTGTGGCACCGCTGGATTTAGAGGAGTGCGAGCAGGAGCGCGACGAGGGGATCGCCGAGAAGATGTCGCTGGCGCTGGATGGAGATTTGAGAGCGCAGGTGGACAGGGACAAACGGGACATGCTAAAGCACTGCAAGACAGCTCCAGAAAGGAGGGCGTTCCCCCATGCGGGGCCCCAGTGATGCTTGCATGGGTGATGTTGGACCCCACGGTCAACCTGAAGGGCCCGGAGCTGCTGAGCAGGAAGCTGGAGGAGCTGAGGACTCGAGCAGCGCAGCAGCGCGAGGACGAGGAGGCGCGGCCAAGTGCAGTTCCCTCCACAATTGCAAAGTCGGCGGGGCGACGCTGCCGCGGATGGGGCGGAGGGCAGGCAGCGCGTAAGGGCGGAAAGAGCGAGCTGACGATGGAGAAACGCTGCGATCGAGCGAGGGGCAAGCGTGCCACTTAGGAGGCATGAGAAGGCTGGACTGGGATCGCCAGCGATGGAGGCCGACGCAAGTCTGGAGCGCAGGTACAAGCTGGAGATCATCTTCGTTAAGTGTCGCCAGTCTCAAGCCACGCCGTCGGACTGGCACAGGTCGATTTCTTTTTTCCTTGGAGAAATGCAATGACGAACATGGCATTGGGGGCAAAACAGTCATTCATGCGCATTGCCCGATGGGAACGGTTTCTTTCACATGGGGACCCGTCGCAGAGGGCCGGCGCCGCGCCGCCTTGGCTGGGCGCGCGGCGGCCTTCGGAATAGGCCAAGGGTCAGCGCGATAGCCTGCGTCGAAGCTGCGCGATGGAGGGCGAGACGGACAGGGCCCGCACCATTGCCAGCAAGTGCGACTGCACCAACGCATTCGCGAGCACGACGCGCAACCCCGCGCTGGTCTCGGCCGTCGCCGTGCAATCGAGGAGATGAGCTACGCGGCGATGATCGTGGAATGCGCCGACGACTGGGTCCGCGCGATGACCGCCAAGGGCGCGCAGATGGTATTCACTCTGTGCCTGCGACAAATTCATGAGACGCACAGTATCCACGCGGGACAATGGCGCCGAGAAAAGAAGGGGAAGGACGAGATGCAAACAGCGCGCGACACAATGACCCCGTTAGAGGAGATGGAGCACGACCTTTAGCTCAACGCGCCCATGGACGACATCACCTAGATCCACGCGGCGGCCCCGCCCCCCCAGACGCAGGGGCAGGTTGGAGCTGGCGAGGGGATCTCGGAGTACCTGCCAGCTCCCGGCGAGAGCGAGGGCATCTCGGATCGTCGGGGCGCACCACCTGGGGGGGGCGGGGGGCCCAATCTCAAGCGAGCAGGATGGCGGAGGGACGCCCACCACCTAAAGGCACGCCGGCGAGGGAGTTGCGAGCGCTGGGCCCTCGCTTGCCGGGTGATCAAGGCTACGCAGGAGAAGCCAGGAGGTGCGAGGCAATACAAGTAAGTTAGCCCACAGGCAATGCTGGCGCTTCTGGTCGTTAGATATTCCAGGCATTTTTTATTCAGAAAAGAGGCATGTACCAGGCTTTTTGCGTCGGGCGCGGGCCTCAGTGGGCCGTTGACAGGGGGCGGGGGAGCTCGACTGGCGCGGCCACGCCGCGACGCGCCGGGCGGATCTGGGGCGCCACCTTGCCAGAGGTCCCTGATGGGGGGCGATCTGCCCGCCCCATTTTGTCGCGACTTGGGGCCAGGCGCGGGGGGCCAGGCGCGCGGGGCGCAATTTGCAACGGCTGCGGCGCTGGCGCCGCGCAGGAGAGCGGTGGGCCACAGCAAATCGCCGGCCCCCAGCCCAGTGGTGACCCACCACGGCCCCCAGTGCCTGAGCTCGTTCGCTACGAGCAAAATTCTTGTTGACCATGTCAAGAGAGCTTCGGGGAGCCACGGGATCTGCTAGAAAACAGAAGCAGTTGGACCCGCCCATCGCAGGGGCCTTCTTCCTTCGACTGCTCCCTCTGCGGCTGTCGGGATCAATCCCTCGAAGAGCGTCGCGTGCGCGCCCGGTGCCGCCATCCCGGCCCACGCGGCGCCTGGCCTTCAAAGGTGGCGAGCGCTTCTTGGCGACTGCCCCCCCCCCCCCCCCCCCCCCCCCCACCCCCATCAAAAAATTACGCTGCCGAGGAACCCCACATACTTATATGATGGCTGGAGTGATGATAGCTGAAGTGAAGCATGTAAGAATGATGTTGGTGGCCGTTGCCACCCCCTGCGCACCCCTATTTTGTCCAGAAAGTGCCACGCCTGCTATGCCCTGGACGACCGTCGTGCATAGCGGCCGCGGTGAGGGACCACCCCCTGCGCACCCCCTATGGTGTCGAGAAAGTGCCACACCTGCTATGCCCTGGACGACCGTCGTGCATAGCGGCCGCGGTGAGGGACCAACCCCTGCGCACCCCCTATGGTGTCGAGAAGATGCCACACCTGCTATGCCCTGGACGACCGTCTCGAATAGCGGCCGCGCTCGGGGACCACCCCCTGCGCACCCCTTATGGAATCGAGAAAGTGCCACGCCTACTACGCCCTGGACGACCGTCTCGGATAGCGGCCGCGCTCAGGGACCACCCTTTGCGCACCCCTTTGAAAATCGAGAAAGTGCCACGCCTATAATGCCCTGGACGACCGTCTCGGATAGCGGCCGCGCTCAGGGACCACCCCCTGCGCACCCCCTATGTTGTCGAGAAAGTGCCACGCCTGCTCTGCCCTGGACGACCGGCTCGGATAGCGGCCGCGCTCAGGGACCACCCCTTGCGCACCCCTTAAGTGTCGAGAAAGTGCCACGCCTGCTCTGCCCTGGACGACCGGCGCGGATAGGGGGACCACCCCGTGCGCACCCATTACGGCGTCGAGAAACTGCCACGCCTGCTACGGCCTGGACGACCGGCGCGGATAGGGGGACCACCCCCTGCGCACCCCTTATGGTGTCGAGAAATTGCCACGCCTGCTACGGCCTGGACGACCGGCGCGGATAGGGGGACCACCCCTTGCGCACCCACTATGGCGTCGAGGAACTGCCACGCCTGCTACGGCCTGGACGACCGGCGCGGAAAGGGGGACCACCCCCTGCGCACCCCCTATGGTGTCGAGAAAGTGCCACGCCTGCTACGGCCTGGACGACCGGCGCGGATAGGGGGACCACCCCGTGCGCACCCACTACGGCGTCGAGAAACTGCCACGCCTGCTACGGCCTGGACGACCGGCGCGGATTGGGGACCACCCCCTGCGCACACCCCTATGGTTCGAGACTGCCACGCCTGCTACCTGCACCACCCCGTGCCGAGAAACTGCCACGCCTGCTACGGCCTGGACGACCGCGCGGATAGGTACCCCGTGCGCACCCACTAGGGGACTGCCACCCCGTGCGCACCCCCTATGGTGTCGAGAAACTGCCACGCCTGCTACGGCCTGGACGACCGGCGCGGATAGGGGGACCACCCCTGCGCACCCCCTATGGTGTCGAGAAACTGCCACGCCTGCTACGGCCTGGACGACCGGCGCGGATGGGGGGACCACCCCTTGCGCACGCATTATGGTGTCGAGAAACTGCCACGCCTGCTACGGCCTGGACGACCGGCGCGGAAAGGGGGACCACCCCCTGCGCACCCCCTATGGTGTCGAGAAAGTGCCACGCCTGCTACGGCCTGGACGACCGGCGCGGATAGGGGGACCACCCCGTGCGCACCCACTACGGCGTCGAGAAACTGCCACGCCTGCTACGGCCTGGACGACCGGCGCGGAAAGGGGGACCACCCCCTGCGCACCCCCTATGGTGTCGAGAAAGTGCCACGCCTGCTACGGCCTGGACGACCGGCGCGGATAGGGGGACCACCCCGTGCGCACCCACTACGGCGTCGAGAAAGTGCCACGCCTGCTGCGGCCTGGACGACCGGCGCAGATAGGGGGACCACCCCCTGCGCACCCCCTATGGTGTCGAGAAGCTGCCACGCCTGCTACGGCCTGGACGACCGGCGCGGATGGGGGGACCACCCCTTGCGCACGCATTATGGTGTCGAGAAGCTGCCACGCTTGCTAAGCCCTGGACGACCGGCGCGGATAGGGGACCACCCCCTGCGCACCCCCTACGGTGTCGAGAAAGTGTGCCCTTCGCGCTAGTCCTGCGTGCTCTGCTGAGCTGTGCTGTGCTGTGCCAAGCTGAGCTTTGCTGTGCTGTGCTGAACTGAGCTGAGCTGAGCTGAGCTGAGCTGTGCTGTGCTGTGCTGAGCTGAGCTGAGCTGTGCTGAGCTGTGCTGAGCAGTGCTGTGCTGTGCTGTGTTGTGCTGTGCTTGTGCTGTGCTGAGCTGAGCTGAGCTGTGCTGTGCTGTGCTGTGATGTGCCGTGCTGTGCTGTGCTGTGCTGTGCTGTACGAGGAGTGAGGTGTGTGTCGCGGGTGCGGCGCGGCAGGGAAGAAAACCATAACCCCACTAAGCATGTGGGGAACAACGAGGAGCCGTCGCAGAGATGGACGGGGGGGCCGAAGCGCCACGTGGGCGGCCAGGGAGAGGGCATGGACCGGCGGGCAATTGGCGCGGCAAGCGCCGAGGCGGCAGGTGGCGCACCTTCGGCAGCGGCCGCGGCAGCGGGGGGGGCGGGAAGGGCGGGGGACAGGCCGCGGGACCCCCCGCCAGCAACCCAAGGCAACGGACGATTACGAGGAGCCCGGCCTCAGAGGAGCCATCAGCGGACCCCAGCGCGCAGCCGTCCGATCCGCGGCAGGGATGCGAGAGATGAACCACCTGACCACGGACTTCTACCTCGCTCCAGTCAGCGCACGGGCGTTCCCGAAGTCGCTAGCAGCGGGCCGCTGCCAAAGGGAACCTGGTCAGGGGGCGGGGCGAGGGGCGTCTGCTCAGACAGCCAGGCAGCCGCGCAGGGATGGCGCCCATGGAAGGCATCTCAGAGACAGCGACGAAATGGCAGAAAGAGGACGTTGCATCGGTGGAAGCATCTATGAACTGGGCGATCGACACGCCGAACAACTTCGCGGCGTCGGTGGACGGCAGCAACGCTTGTAGCCAGGCCGTGGTGACCGAGACGATCAAGCTGCGCGAGATCAGCGAGATCTACACGGCTCGCAACGGCAAGAGCACTAACCCTAACGAGGGCGAGCAGTTGTGGGGGGAGGGCATGGGCAATATCCAGATCAGGCATCAACGCGACCCCCAGCTTCCGAGCTGCGCCCCCGACAGGCACGATCGAGGAGGTTCTGGAGAAGCTCGACAAGTTCCCGGGCCACAACTTGAAGGCAGCAGTGAGGATGTTAATCGCGTTCGCGGGCGGCAGGAAGCCGCGGTCGGCGGCGCCCAAGACGGAGTTGGAGGGGGCGATGGAACGCGAGCTCCAGCGTCGGCGCCGCTTGGAGAAGAGGGAGCGGTTGCATTAGCGAGAGCGCCTAGGGGCGCAAGAACCCCGGCGCCTCGTGCCAGACCGCGACTGGCGCGGACAGACATTGTCGCGGCCCCCTCGCCGAGGGCTTCCGCTCCGAGTTCCGAGGGCGCCGCCCTTCAAGAAGCCCCCCCCAGTGCAGATGGGCCTCGCAGGAGTGCCCTGAGGACGAGAATGCGGAGGCAATCAGCATGGCTGTTGAGCGCCTCACTAAGCCCAGACACATGTCTCCGAATGGCAGGCGCCACCAAATGGCCCTCGCATTTCGGGATTAACGGGGGGCAGAGTTGCAGAGGACCGCCCTGGGACGAGGCCTCCCAGGTAGCAACCAGTCTTCCCACCACAGTTAGTTGCCTGTGTTTTACTTCGTGACGACACGACATTTCTCAGCTTGCCCCCGACCCCCCCATCTCCATGTGGCCATTTAAGGTTGCGGCGACGCGGCGTGTCTGGGGCCTCTGCGCACAGTGCAAACATCAGACAGACGACATGCGTGCAGCGATGGGTCACGGACAGAATTGGCGGTTCAGGAGTGGGCCCCGACTCCAGAGTGTTACGAGGTATCCTCGGGGAGCGCTGGACACAGCGCTGGATTTCAGAATGGTGACAAACTCTCATCGATTACTATCCGCTCCCACAGCCCATCTGGCTCAACCACGGCCCAGGTGCGCGCTGGCACGAGCGGGGGCATCTCGGAGCGCGGGGCGCAGGGGGCTGCCCGCGGCCCTTAACAGCAGCGACAAGCATTGGCCAGGCGGCCGATGCGGCGAGGGGCACGGGCACTACAGTATGATGGAGAGCCACAGGGAGCGCGCCAAGAACGAGCCAGGACGCGAACCAGATCAAAGAGGAAGAGGAAACCAGTGGAAAAGGCCCGCGCGGCCAACTGCGAGTTGGCCCTCAGGCAAGAGGAGTGGGCCGAGTTGAGCGACGAGGCGAAGATTCGCCATGGAGGAGAGAAGTACAGCACGAAGGAAAAAGTGTGCCGAGAACAGAGGATGCGAGCCGAGGGCCTAGCGTGGACGGCTCAATCCTTGGCAAATCCAGGCAGCGGAGGCGATCGTCGACGCAGAGGAGGGACCAAAGAAGAAGTCACGCAGCCACAGGAACAGATGTCATCGAGCGGTCCAAGGAGGTGTCGAAGGCCTCGGTGGATGGCATCAAGAAGATCGGGGGCATCTTCGCGGCCTTCAGCAAGGCAGGGGAGAGTATGGCGATTGCGCTGAAGTCCGCGGAGGAGTGCGACATCATCATGCTGCGCGATTGCACGCCTACGGGCAGGGGGGGGGGGGGGGGTGGCTGGGATATGCTACTGAAAAGCCATGCAAGAACTGACCAGAGAATGGATAGGGCTGCATGAATCGGCGACTAACAAGACGCGCGAGCACATGGTGCGCAGCAGACCCAGCAACCTTGTGCGTGTGTGCCCAAGCTAATACAGGGGGCGACGACGTGCAGCTGTACAACGCGCGCAGGAGGAACGCAGGCTGGGACGAGGACAAGGACTGCGCCTGCTCGCGCGGGCCAGCCTTCCCCAACAAGCTGCGGCGGAGAGGCCCTGGCGCTACCTCGACGGGCGATCAGCGGAAGTTCTGGCGCGAAGTGGGCTGGGCGGCGCCGGCGACGGCGCAGGGTGGTTTCCCCGAGGATCAGCTAATGGAAGGATGGGTGGACAAGATGGGGAAATATTCAAACGAGGGCTATGAGAAGTGGCCCGATATCTGCTGCAAGTCGAGGCCCCGCCCGCGCCGCAATGGGCCATCGACGGTGGTGGAGCTCATTGTTGGTGACAAGTGGGTAGCGCTCGCAGCCGAGAGGCCGACGCAAGCGATCGACGATGCCATCAAAGAGCTCCGCTGCGAGTTCCACGACGCGGCCCAGCAGCTGAGCCCAGAGAAACTGCGCGAGCGGATCCCGCTTGCCTCCCCGATGACGCACCATGTCAAAGGCTGCGCGCTGATTGCGCAACGCCCAGTGGACGCGCGGCACGCAGCAGGAAGAAAGTGCTCCTCGACGCGCGGCGCGCGCGAGCTTGCGACGCGGGTCGCGAAGAACGACCTGGAGAGCCCACAGAGCGCCATGGAAGTAGCCGCGAGGGGGCTGCAGACAGCCGAGATTTTCGAGCAGAAGGAGGTCGAGAGGCTCGAGCGACGTCAGGAGCTCCGCGACAACGCGGGCACCCCGCTGGACGGCGCCGAGATCAACGAGATGCACGCCGACTCAGGCGAAGCGGCTAGCTCCAGCGGCCGCGCGCGAGGGCGCCCACTTGCGCAGCCAGGAGGGGCACTAGCGGGGGCATCTCGGAGTGCAATCCCAGGCTGGCAGGACGGCGCCGCCCCAGCAGCGACAGACTAGCTCACAGAGACCGCCGCTAGCGGGGGCATCCCGGCGCGCGGACCCTTAGGAAAAGAGTTCGTATAGATCAACGTCTTTGTTTTTGTTTCTCTGGAGCGCCGACAGGCGCGCCACCACTGGGGCGACGAGTGGAAAACGAGGCCCCCACAGAGACCGCTAGAGCGCAATCCTCAAGGGCCCCTCCCCCCGCGAAACGACAGCGGCGCGTGGGCAGCATCGCAGATTTGGAAGCCTCTCACACGCCGTAACAATTATAGTTCTGCTCGCCCCCTACGCACGCGCCGACTGGAAGGGGCACATCAGAGGTGCAATTGGAGTATCACAGATAATTTGGATACAGAGTGCTGCAGCGCAGGATTGCGTCGGACACTGCATTGCTTCGCATGCTTCGACCATCGGCGAACACGTCCAGGAAGCGAAGTGAGCCTATAGAGGGAGTGACTCTGTTCGAAGCGAAGGCGCAGCAGAACGTAGGTAGAATTATAATTCGGCCCCCCCAGCAAAAGCTTGGCACGAAGGGGCCTGTTGCTCTCTCTCCTCTCTCCCGTGCGTCGTGGAGCGAGGTCGCGTCGTCGCCCCCCCCCCCCTGCTTGGAAGCCCTCAGCTGCCCCGCCCGCGCTGACCCGTAGGGACTCGTACTCACAAGGTAGCGAGCCTCTCTTACGGGGCCGCTTCGGAGCTCGCCCCTTGGAGCGTCGGGCGAGCCCCCTGCCGGCCCCATGAAAGTCCGGGGTGTGCGGCATATTAAGCTCGCAGGGGATTTGTGCTAGTACCCCCCGCAGTTCCTTTGTGGGCGTGT